CTTGGAGCTCGAGAATTTTTACGCTCGAAAGTGCAAATCAGTACTACTAGTTCAGTATACGGGTCAATAGACCCCACAACAGAGGGAGTGACGTGTATATTTTTTTTAACCTCAGGTACCGCATTGTCACCGAGTTACCCGTGGAGTGGAAATCAAATTTTCGGTTTGTCCAGCTGCTTGTAAAAGCAGTTGTCCCCGGCTGTTAGCACAGTGATTTGTGAGACTTAGCTAATGAAGCAGCAACATTAGTGGCTGCAAAAACCAGCTAACAAGCCATTTGCTTCCACTTGTTACGTAAACTTTAAGTTTGACTAAATCTATATTAATGTCAACATGAGTTTTATATGAGAGTTGATTTATTAGGTTAATATACATACACCTCTATCTCTGAAAAAGTGTCATTCTAGGTTTGGACTATGTCAAACTTTCTTAAACTTAACTAGATTTATAAAAAATATTATCAACACTTATATATCTAAATAGATTTAATATAAAATATATCCCATAATTCATCTCATGATACTTGTTACACCACATAAATATTGGTATTTTTTGTGTATACTTGGTCAAACTTAAGACTTATTGACTCATCGAAAAGTGAAAATGACACTCTTTTGGAGACAAAGGTACTAAGCATTTTTTTATGACGTGATAACGACACAACATTTTTAAGAAGAGAGAATATGTGAGTTTCATATAGATGAAACTCTCTTAGCTCAATTACAACTCTATAATTAAATGGCTTATTTAGATTCCTAAACTTTATAAGCGTGTGCCACTTAGGTCCACGAACTCGGAAAATGCACTTTTAGGTCCCTAAACTTGTCAAATGGTGCACCGCGGGTCCATATAACACACGTAGGTATTTTTAGCTAACGTGGCACGACAACATGACATGTGTTCTTACATTTAACCCTTCTAATTCTCTCTTCTTCTCACGTCGTAGCCCATGACCAGCACGGCATGGTTCAAAGACGTGTCGTAGGGCCAGTGAAGACGCCGGGCCTGCGTGCTTCTGCGATGTCCTACAGGGCTCCGTGATGATGCCCTCTTTGTAGCTCTGGAAGGCGCTGCTGTGGCGTGCAAGCAAAGCTCAGCCTCAACGAGTTCTTCGACTTGACTGTGGACGAGTTCACCAGCATGTACACCGGCACCTTGCCCGAAGCTGACGACCATCGTCTCCGGCAGCCTCGCCAGTGGCAGCACGTCCAGGTACAACAAGCAGCCGCGTGTTCCTCGCTGAGACCATGGAGCTGTCACTGCCGTCAAGGACCAACTGACCAAGGATAATGCAGTACGTGTCGTAGTTACCTGTATGGCTGTATGTATATGCTACATACTCAAATGAATATACATGTGTGAATGAGTCATTCAAAGATGCTAGTAGGAAGCTGCTGAGCTTTCTCTGTGGTAGTGTGGTGGGTTCGGTGGAGGGCATCAACGCGATCAGGACGGTGACCCTGCTGACACTGTCCGAGCAAGAGGTGCTCGACACTGCTCTGATCCGACTACTGCAGCTGCAGCGGTGGTTACACGTACGACGCGTTCAAACACACCATCAACCACGTGTTAATCGTAGACCAGTTTGGCAAGGCTCCGAACTACCACTTACAAATTTCATCGCCACCATTGTCGGTAGCAGGAGGCGCCTGGTCAGTGGTTCCGTTGCCGTTGTTGCCAGTGGAAGGGGGCGCGCGCCTGGTTGGCACTTCCGACGCCGTTGCCAACAGTAGGCGGCGGCAGCGTGGTGCTGTCGGCACGGCCAACGCTGCCGCCGTTGGTGCTTTGCCCATCGGTGGGCGGCGAAACGAGTGGAGTGGCATCAGAGTCGTGCAACCTGTGCGATCGAACAGACACAAGAATATGAATTTTAAACTTTTGACAGTCATAAGTTGAGCGACAAGTGTGATATTATTGGCTACACGCGGTGAAGTGTACGTGGCGAGATTACCCGAAGCGAGGGACGCAGAAGGCGATGGTGTAGCCGACAGCACTGTGCATAGCTGTACATGCGCGGGCACGCCGATTTGAACATGGATGAGTAGGCCGTCAGCATCGCACATGTGCCGCTGCAGCAGGGGTCTGCGGGACGTTTCTGAACCACGCCATGCTCTGGTCATGGGCTACTACGTGAGAAGAGAGAATTAGAGGGCTTAAATATAAAAACACATGCCACGCTGTCATGCCACGTCAGGTAGAAATGCCTACGTGTATTATATGGACTTGCGGTGCACCAGTTGACAAGCTTAGAGACCCAAAAATATATTTTCCGAGTTCGTTGACCCAAGTGACATACGCTTACAAGTTCGAGGGCCGCTGGTGCATTTAACTCTAAAAAATAAAACTATACATTAAGCGTAATTATTTTATCCATGTTTTATTGCATCCTGTAATCTTAGAGAGAATGCTATAAAACTCTACTATGGGAATGGCCGGCAAGAGCAATTTATATAGATGGGGTAGTCCATGTAAGTGGACCTTGTGACAGTAGCCTCTAACTATTTTCATTACTACAATGTAAAAGGCCTAAATCAACCGTATACATGGGACCACGATCAAATAAAAACTCTACCCCGATCGATGTTACCAAATAAGAATCATTAGATTATATATTAGTTATATTTTAATAGTATACTTATTTAGTGCTATAGTTAAATGTCTTCAAATTTGATCAAAAGGGAACTAGAATTACATACTTTTTTAGGATGGAGGTAGTACTCCCTGTATTCCAAAATGAGTGCATTTTAGCTACAGTGTCAAGTCAATTAATCTCAATTTGGACTATCTTTTTCACAGAAATGCTAAAATGTATGACATCAAATAAGTGTGATTATATTGATCATGAATATATTTTGTAGTATACTTATTTGGAACCATAATTATTGATACTATTTTCTTTTATAAGTTTATTACAATTTAAAATATTTTGACTTTGACATCAAATAAGTGTCATTATATTTGGAACCATATGCATTTTTTTGTATGAAGGGAGTACTCTGTCCGTCCTAAACAAAGTTCAATTCCAGATTTTAACCAAGGGAAAAAATCAAAGTCTAAATCAATTTGTAGAAAATAGTATATAAACATTAATGTCTCTAATCGATTACTATGAAAATATATTTTGTTACTAAGCTAATGATACTAATTTATAATATTATAAAGATTAACTTTTTTATATACTTGATCAAATTTAAACTTGTTTTGACTTATAAAAAAACAAGAGATATACTCTTTTTGATGGATGTAATATGTCCGTTAAAAAAATACAATTATATATGTGTTCTTTATTAAAAAGGTGTCCAAAGTTGATCAAATATATATACCTAAAAATAGTAATGCTTATAACACCAAATAGATATACTATAAAAATATATCATGTAATAAATCTAATATTCCTATTTGTATACCTAAAATTAAAGAGGCAAAATTTCTCTCCACCCATTTTTTTTCCGGACCTTTCTTAACTAACTTTGTAAGAAACCGTCCCAGACACATCTACACCCCTACTATTTTATTACATGAATATATGGAGGCTCTTAAGGTAACTTGAATAGGAATCCTAATCTAAATAAACTCCTTCTGTCATAGGAGGCTTCTTGCCTAGCATAGCCTGATCGAATAGGAATCCTACTCGAAATAAAAATAGAAAAGGAAATAAAAGTAGAAAGTAAGTAAATATAAATTAGACAAAACTATTTTTTATGATCACGGGAATTGATCTTCGTCATCGCGTGCATCAGCTCATGGTTTAGCTTTTGCGTCCAGTTAGTAAAAAAAAGCTTTTGCGACCAGTTCCACGCCTATTAATTAAGAGCAAAAAACAATTCTCCATCTTCTGTTGTCCGTCTAATTTGACTCCGATGATTTCCCCCTTTGTATTTTTCTGAGGCTGCATGGACGATTTTTTCTGAGTGTTAACTTATGTCGTCCTTTTTTTCATTTGGGCAGAATCCTGAACGGACTCACGATTTACTCTCTCACCAAGCCATTTTTTCGATCGAACTCATGTTCGTTTTACTCTCCCGTTGTTGTTTTCCATCAAGGTCGATTTTTTATTTTGTTTCTTTATGGTCATACATGTCAATTTTTCAGTTTTGTTTTTCACGATTTTTTGAACCATTTTTATCCCATTCCAACAAAAATAATAAATGTCAAAAACAAAGACCTTAACTGTTTCCTAAGAAGCAAAGATTCCTCTCACTAAGTTAGTGATGTATTTTTAATTGCCTAGTAATAAAACTTCTCATAGTGATGGTCCAACTTATCAATAGGCTGAGTTAAGGTCTTACGATATTTGTTATCCAATCCAGCCTAAATAAAATTATCTCTATGCAACGCAATATCCAAAATAGTCACCACATATAAAAGAAAGACCAATTCTTGATACGTCGATAAATAGCTAACTTCGTACGAGTTAGAACAACTCGCATCTAGCGATAATGCGCAGTCCTATTACTATATGTATTGACTCCCGTTGCAACGCACGGACACATTTGCTAGTAATATAATAAGTATCGATATCTTTTTTATTTTGAAATATTTTTAATTAGTATCGTGTTAGAATTGTATATACATATTCTTTTCGTTGAGCAGTATTTTTCCGGGCGTAGACGAGGCGAGCTAGCAGTCTGTCGCTCTGTTGTTTTGTTAGAGCAACCACAATGTTGGCAAAACCAGTCCATAGGAAATTAAATATTTACTATCAGATAGCTGGTACATTGTGGAACTAGTCCAGAAGCCGTCCATAGGTAAAAGCCACCCATAACACTATAGGCAGCCCAGAAGACAATAAAAAACGGTTTGTTCACTGTAGATCTGACACACAACAATAAACAAGAAAGAGCCGTTGGCCTTCGGAAGGTAGCCATTGGGCGTTGGGCGTTGGCCTTCTCCTTCCTGTACATGCCTTCTTTGCTGAAGCCCTCTCTGCCTACAAAACTGAAGCTTCGTGCTGCATTCTTCACACCTGAGCCTGAGATTTTCAACTCTAGAACACAACAATGGAACCCTCGCCCAAAAACTTTTCTAGCCTCCTGAATCAAGGCTCTCCAACCCAATACTCAGAGAGCAGTGGCCAAATCTCACCACCTACACCCCAATCTCAGTTTCCCTTTGGAACATCCAATTTTCTGCAGAACTTCAATCCTTTTGGTCCTCCAGGAATCCACCCACCATATGGCCATTCTCCTCCCAGATTTCAAGGTGTTCAACAACAAGGGAGTTGGCTACAAGCTCCTCCACCTAGCTTTCAAGGATTTCATCTCCATGAAAGTTTGGGTGCACCTGCAGCCAATAGGCCTCCACCAGTTCTTCAATTTGGCCATTTAGGTGGAGTTGCAGCCAACACTTCTTCCCATGGATCCGAGTCTAGTTCTCGATGCTCTGCACAACAAGAGAAGCAATCAGTCAACATTGAAGATTTAAGTGATAGCAGTGAAGAAGAAGAACCAAAGAGACGTCAACACATCAATTGGAGTGAAGAAGAAAATGAGCAGCTTTTCAATTCGTGGACACATCACTCCACCGATCCCGTGAATCGGCATCGATGTGAAATGTGAGTACTATTGGAAAGTCAGTAGCTACTGAGTTCAACGACAACGCGCAAAAAATAGCCACAAGAGGTCGGGTCAAACAATTGAAGACACACTGGGTGATGTCAAGAGGGATATCACAAAGTTCAAGGGGCTTATGCTCGAGCTATAAGTGCACGCAAAGGTGGGCAATCTGATGACATGGTCCCAAAAAACAGCCCATGAGATGTTCAAGGGAGGTAACAAGGGTAGGTCTTTCATATATGAGTACCTGTGGAAAGTGGCCAAGGAGATGCCCAAATGGCGCAGAATCATCCAAGAGGAGAGCACAACAAAAAGGACCAAGCTATCTAACTCAGAGCATATACTTCTTCATCCAACCAAGACACAGAGGGGGAACCATGAGTAGAGAGGTACGTCCCCGGGGGGGTAAGAAAGCGAAGGCAAATTTGAAAGGGATAGGAAAATCAGAGTAGCACCATCTCCTTTGAGCAACCCAACCAAGTCGTAATATGGTTATGTATTATGAAGCTATGTCAATGAAAGCAAAAACTGCAAGAGATAAAAAGTATAAGACATATTTAAAACTGTTGGCAATAGATACCTCAAACTTCAATGAAAAAGAAAAAAAAAGGCATGACAACATAATGGACCAGATAGCAAAAGACTTGGCTGAGGAGTAGAAAGGCAGCAAGAGATGCATGTATCCCTAATATTTAGTGTAATTGTTGTTTTTAAGTTAATTAGTTTTTATGTATTAGGTAGCATGGTTGTACCACCAATATTTAGTGTAATTGTTATTTTTCTTAGTGCTGGCAGTGTATTTGTAAGCTTAATATGGCTGTACCCCACTATTAATGAAACCAGCAGATGGCTGTTGAGGTATGGACAAAAGCAAAATATAGCTGTTGAGAAAAGACAAACAAAAATATAGTTGTTTATGTCATGCCAGAAGCAGCAGATGGCTGTTGAGAAAAAGACAAAAAATATAGCTGTTGCATACAAGTGGACAACAGCTACAAATATGACCACCACACCACTCCCTCGTTCACAACACTGCACTCCCTCATTCACTAGACACCAGTCAACAACCACTGCCTGATTCACACAAGACACCACTTCCTCGTTCTCTAGAAAAAATGTCAACTGACTCAGATGATTCTATTGAGTCTGAGCTTGAAGCACAGATTGAGGCTGAGCTTGAGCAGGAGATTGAAGCTGAGATTGAAGCAGAATCAGCTAGGTCCTCTATTCGACGTGGGGGTTATACAAGGAGGTACATCAACAGAAATCATGAAGGTGATCACAGCAGACTAGTTGGTAAATATTTTTCAGATACTCCCTTGTACACAGATAATCAGTTTCGTAGAAGATTTCTCATGAGGAAGCATTTATTTATGCGCATAGTTGAAGCTCTAGGTGTTTGGTCTCCATATTTTCGTCTACACCGAGATGCATTTAGCAAAGTGGGTCTATCACCATTACAGAAATGTACTGCCGCCATTAGAATGTTGGCATATGGTTCACCAGCAGATCTTATGGATGAAACATTTGGGGTTGCCGAGAGTACAACAATGGAGTGTTTGATTCATTTTGTTCATGGTGTTAGAAGCCTATTCGGTGCACAATGTCTACGCAAACCTACTAGTGAAGACATCCAATGCTTACTGCAAGTAGCATACCAGCGTGGTTTCCCTGGGATGTTGGGTAGTCTTGATTGTATGCATTGGGAGTGGCAGAATTGTCCTGTTGCTTGGAAAGGGCAATTCACTCGAGGTGATTATAAGGTACCTACCATAATGCTAGAGGCTGTCGCGTCTTATGACCTATGGATTTGGCATGCATTCTTTGGAGCTTCTGGTTCGAACAATGACATTAATGTGCTTGACCGGACCACCGTTATTCACTGTAGCGACTACAAGGCAAAGCACACGAGGTTCAAGATAATCGTTAATGGGTCACAATACAACATGGGTTACTATCTAGCTGACGGCATCTATCCAGAATGGGCCACATTTGTCAAGACAATCAACCGACCACTAAGTCCTAAGCATAAAATTGTTTGCAAGCTATCAAGAAGGAGAAAGAAAAGCTGTGGAACGAGCTTTCGGGGTGTTGCAAAAGCGTTGGGCTATCATACGTCACCCAGCAAGACTTTGGGAATGGGAAGAACTCGCCAATATTATGTATGCATGTGTTATATTGCACAACATGATAATAGAGGATGAGAGAGGCATCTATGACATACCAGATGATAACACATATGAGCAAGCGCAATCTTCTCCAAATTTAATCGGGCTTGCACATGGACCAATCTATGGATTCACAGATATACTAGACAAAGACAATGAAATTGCAATCGATCAACTCACGTTCGTCTCAAGGAAGATTTGATAGAGCACATTTGGCAAAAATTCAAAGACACAAAGAGATGAACCCGGCCAAGAGTAGAGTCTCATCCATGTAATTTTAGGATCGTGTGTTTTCTTAAATTTATTTGTACTCAGATCCAAATAAGGCAATTGTACTTTTATTTCATTATTCATTCATACTTTGCAAAAAGAAGTAGTACTATGCACGGATCGGAGGTTACGAACTCAACCTCGTTAGGCTAGTTACGCTACAAACTCCAACTCTCATTTTTTCAACTATATAAAAGCTAAAGCAATTTGCTATTACCATGCACGGATCGGAGGTAGGAAATGATTATACTGCTGCTGCCGAGATGAGGAACGGTCGGTGCCTCGTGAGTCCCGCTCCCGCCGTCCGCATGCCCGGCTGGAGTCTGCATGCACGCTTGACGCCCCGGCCAAAGGTGCCTAGCGAGATCTACGAGCCGGGTGTGCCTGTGGTGCTTGGCCGGACGGACGCCTGCACGCCAGTCACCGTGCTGTTGCGTTCAGCGTGGGTGCGAGCAATCGGTGGTTCGCGAGGACGCCAGGTTGCCGCGTCGGCCGTCCACGCGGCTCCCTAGGTCGCCGCCCTGGGCGTCCGTGCCCCTGCAAGAAACGCCCGATCTGAGTTGGTTGACGCCCGATCTGAGCACGGAAGTTGGAGATCTGAGGTGGAAGGGGAAGGCCATGGTCGGATTCAGTGCGAGGAAGGAGATCGGTGGCGGAGAAGACGGCGGTGGAGATAGGGGATACGGAGCTGCATCGCCCCGGACTTATCCGTCGCGTGAACAGATGGGGAAAGTTGAGGGTGTGGGATATTTTACTGGCTGTGGGACCTAGCCTTATGGATAGCCGGTCCAGATACATTGTGACCTCCAACTTAACTATAGACCTCTGCCGTGGGACCCATCTATACGGACCGGTTGGTCCATAGACCTTGCTCTTAGAGCATGAAGCCAAGTCAAAACCAAAAAGTGATAATAATAAAAAAATGGTGCTCGCAGTCACAGGCTCACAGCTGGGCGCCGCTTGGCTTGCCAAGCCAGCCGTTGATGCCGCGAAGCCGAGCCAGCCGCCCCCAGCAGGCTTGCCAGGTAACCCCGTCGTCATCCACTCGTTCCGCCGTCCCACCCCAGGAACCCTACCAATCTCGCCTCGTTTCGTCTCAGCTGCATTCCAATTCCATCATCTGTACCGAGAAGCGGAGCGGAGAGCCTTCGTGGCCCCCCTCCTGCTCTGTTCATCAGAAATTCAGAATACAGGAGGCAGGCCGCCGCCCGCAGGCAGTCCACCGAAACAAAACACTACTCCGTCTCTCCCTCTCCTCCTCACGGCGATTTCCTCCTCCCTCTCCTTGTCCGCCGAGGCCGCAACGCAGCGAGCCCGCCCGTCCTCCGTCCCCGCGCGAGGTGATGCTTTACTGCCGCCTCCTCTCGTCCCTGTCCCTCCTCCCTCCTCCCTTCTCTCTTTCATTCCTTCGGCCACGATGTGCATGCATGCTACTACGCCGGGGTGTCACGGGTACGAGAGCTTCCCGGATTAAGGTGCCGAGTCCCTCTTCGGGGTACCTCATGTGGTTGGGGAATTCCCTCCCCGCCGCGTTCCATCTCATGGTGGGTGGTGGTGCTATTCGCCTGTTAGATCTGTTCTGTCCGTTCCGTCTCGTTCTACGCTTCTGCGAGGAGAACGATAGCTGCGAGATTTAGGGGCCCTAGGCTGGAGTAGGCGGCCTATGTTTTTGGGGTGTTCTGCAATTCGGACAGTACGGGACTCTGAAGCATGTCTACATAGAGTCATAGAGAAAGGACGCCTGTTTTCCTTTTTTTTTAATTCCTTTTACGTCCCTCTTCGTACTGCTTTTTTTCCCGGCTGGCTGTACTCTCTGGTCAAGAGTTCCTTGGTACTGCTAAGCATCTCTTGAGTTTTCGCCACCAAATCCTATTGTCAGTCCCCCTCTGTTCATCTTATTGGGGATTCTTTTTAGTGGCTCCTAAATCCCAAGAGTTTCAGCGTGGTCATCGTTTAAGTAGTCATTTGAACACAACTAGTCAACCTGTTAGCTCTGCGTTTTGATGGATTTATGGTTTCTCTCGTTTTATATGTTTCTTATGGAGAATTGAGAACCTTATTTTGTGTGTTAAATTCTAGGTAGCTTCAATTGTTTGTTAGCTATCTTGAACTCTGCTATTTCAGATGAATCTGTCATGTGTGTGATTCCAATTTTTTTGAGAAAGATGTGGTATGTGCATACGGCACAACGGTTTGCTGATTCTATCATTATCAGCCCCATTATCAAACCCTGACAGAGAGCACTGAGATAGAGCTAGGTAAAACTCCTTTCTGGATTAGGCTACTCACGAATCAATATAGCATCCAAGACCATAATCCTTAGGATTCCACTTGTGCAAATTATTGTTCCAGGTATCTCAAGGGCTTTGGTGATATGCCCGAGAAAGATTGCACTCATGTTAGTTACCTCTGTTAAACGATTTTGTGTACAAAAAAAAAATCTGTTGAATACTCTTACTCATGGGGTTCAGGGTTCTGACTTTGCTTGCTTTAGTTCAGCTCAAAATAATATTATTTCCAAAGTCCCAGCCCTCAACTATTTCTTCTATCATGTGGTGGTCACCTTGCATTGCCTTAAGCTTTGTAAACATTACAACCACATTTTTACTTGCTTGAGCTTTGGCAAATTCTACTAGATAGTTAGTTTATAAGATCATGCCTACTATATATTTTTATATCTGAATCTTATCTGACACTATTTTTTTTTCTCTCGTAACTTTATGATTGTGCAACCACAGAATCTGGATGCTCCTGCCTATGCATGATATCAACCACCAGAGATATTGTTTAGTGCTGGGGAAGTTGTGCAGTTTTGGATCATAAATTCTACAGAAACAAGATAATTATGGATCGCGCAGACACATCAGGGTTTGTCAGTGGTGGTTGCTTTGGTACTACATTCCTGCTGATATTCTTCCATTTCGTCTATTCTACGGTCCGTGTCTGAAAGATCGTCAAGAACCCTTCAGCTGCTTGGGCAGAAATATCATCAGGCCCCTGTTCTTTGAGCTCTCTGGTGTTTTATCTCATATTCTTTTCCGCCATTGTTATAGCGTCTCAACTGTGATGGATAACGGCTTCATGGACAACCCCCATCCGCCATTGTCAGAGTCTCTGATGAATGACCCCTTTGTTTTAGTGGGTTGCTCAGCGCCAAGCTCCACAATGGAGAACATGGGCCAAAGCACACTCTGTATGGATGGCCTGAACCCAGCAATGGTTAGTTGCAGCCATGTTAATGGAAATACACAGATAATGAATGACATAGCAGCGAGAGATGATGGCAGCAGGTTAGTCCTTGGTTTGGGCCCAACGCCGAATTTTTATTCTGCAGTGTCTACTGGTTCAAAACAAGATCAGAGGTTGTCTGGCCAGAGTTCCACATTTACTGATTCAGGGATGCTGAGGCTTGGACTTCAGATGGATGGTGGGGAAGCAATTCAATATCTGCAAGCACCGAATGGAGCACTCCATTCTTTAGGTATCGTTGATGAGGCTTCAACATCTGCTACTGTAAGGAACATGGGTGGTTACATGCCATCCCTACTCTTTGCTCCCCGCTCTGATTCTATTGTCAACGAGACACAAGTAGAAAACCCAGATTCTCTAGATCTCATGCACAGCACCACCAACACTCAGCGTCTTCAACATCACCTCCAGCTCAGCCCCGAACCCTCTGCAATGACCGAGTCTTCATTTGGTGTGAGTTCTGATGTTGTCACTGCAACAACTACATCAGAACGTAGCCATTCCCGACATCCTAAGAAATGCAGGTTTAAGGGATGTTCCAAAGGTGCAAGAGGCGCATCAGGATTGTGTATTGCTCACGGAGGTGGGCAGAGATGTCATAAACCTGGATGCCATAAAGGTGCCGAGAGCAGTTCTGCATACTGCAAAGCCCACGGTGGCGGTCACCGGTGTGAGGAGCTTGGTTGCACCAAAAGTGCAGAAGGAAAAACAGATTATTGCATTGCTCATGGTGGAGGCCGCCGCTGTGAACATCCTGGCTGTCCTAAAGCTGCCCGGGGTAAGTCTGGGCGGTGCATCAAGCACGGTGGCGGGAAGAGGTGCTCGGTTAAAAGTTGCATTCGGAGTGCCGAGGGGAAGGCTGGACTGTGCATTTCTCATGGCGGTGGCCGACGGTGCCAGTATCCAGATTGTGGCAAGGGGGCACAGGGCAGCACATTGTACTGCAAGGGACATGGTGGTGGCAAGAGGTGCATCTTCAATGGTTGCAGCAAAGGCGCTGAGGGTAGCACACCTCTGTGCAAAGCACACGGTGGTGGGAAGCGATGCATGTTTGAAGGAGGTGGTGTCTGTGCAAAGAGTGTGCACGGGGCTACTGAATACTGCGTGGCACATGGAGGAGGGAAGCGCTGTTCCGTGCCCGGCTGCACCAAAAGTGCTCGTGGCCGCACTGACTACTGTGTGAAGCACGGTGGGGGCAAGCGTGCAAGGTTGACAACTGTGGCAAGAGCGCCCAGGGGAGCACGGAACTCTGCAAAGCCCATGGTGGAGGAAAGCGGTGCACTTGGAGCACAGGCTGTGAAAAGTTCTCCCGTGGCAAGAGTGGCTTCTGTGCGGCACATGGTACCTTGATGGCCAGGCAGCGAGAACAAGAGGTGGTGAAGAATGTAGGAAGTATGATTGGACCAGGTCTCTTCAGCGGCATTGTGTTGTCATCTGCCACCGCAGCAAGCAGCATGACGAACGAGCACTCATCCTCTGGTGTCAGCACCGCTTCCGACTGCGACGGCACCGTGAGGAGCCAATCAATGATTCCTCCGCAGGTGCTGGTTCCTCGCTCTATGATGCCTTCTTGGTCGTCTGAGCCTGTAGATGGAGGCAGAGAGGGAGGTCATGTTGTTCCTGAGGGGAGGGTCCATGGTGGTGGCCTCCTGTCACTTCTTGGTGGCAGCTTCAGGAATGCCGATGTGGAAAAGCTTCGAAGCTAGTGCTTTTCCATCTGCAGATTCGGTCAGTTTGTTTGTACATAAACAGGGCGCGTTTCCGCCTATTGAATTCTTATTGTGCCTTTTCTTGTCTAGATAAACATTTCACCATTCATGTACTGGTTAAGTCCATTGTAAAGTGGTGACTGGCAATTGTTGTGAACGCTTTTTGGCTTGTTGGTTCAGTTGTAGTCAGTACTGCAATAAATTCGTGTACTTATTATGCTGCTCTTATCTGTTTGTGCTCATTCATAAGAAACTCGTCTGGACTTTCCATTGCAAAGTGTTGGATGCCAATTTTCTGAAATCTGTATTTTTCAGCATGCCGGTCCAGGTTATATTTGTTCTCTGTTCTTATCTGTTTGTGCATTGTTATTAAGTTATATTCGACTTTTTTTTGCGGTGGTGATGAATTCCCATATACCTGAATCCTGCCTTTCTCCTGATCTTGTCGTTCTTTTTTGGTACTATATATAGTTTTATAATGAATAATAATGCAAAATGCTAGCTGGAGAACCTTATTCCGGCAATAACTCATCACCTCCATGTTTTATTTTGATTGAATTGGGTGATTACAAAGGTTAATTTATAGATAGATATTTCATTGAACAAAAAAACTCCACTATTTGCCGAATTTGGTAAAGAAGAGGTGCAACCTTAATCACATGCTTAGACTGTGTTCGGTTCAGCTTTTGGAATTGCAGCCAAAAGCAAAAAGCCAACTAAACGGATAGCAGCGACTCTTGTGTAGTACAATTTTCATAGCACAATGGATCCTTCTTTTGACTTCCAGCTTTCTTCTTTCCTATGGATGGAAATAAAAGAGACGTTTAGCGGCTGTTTCAAGGGAGATAAAGAGAATAGGTTTTATAGTTGTTTTAACCAGACAACTTCAGTTTTTTCACAGCAGGTAACTAACGTCTTTTCCACAACATACGAGTTTTTCCGCGGCTCACAACTGAACCATACAAACCCTTAATAGATCTAGGAGCTGCACACGATTAACATCTTACACCACCTCAGATCTATACAAACGATGAGATGGAATGAAAAGTGTGTCCAAAAAGTAATGATTAAACGAGTATCTTGAGATTAATGGCCATAAATTATTAGTGGATTTGAATGAAAAGTGAGTCCAAAAAAGAATTGATTAAACGAGTATCTTGAGACTAACGGCCATAAATTATTAGTGGATCTGAAAAGTGAGTCCAAAAAGAAATGATTAAATGAGCATCTTGAGACTAACGGCCATAAATTAATTAGTAGTGGATGTGATATCTCGTACAATAATGTGAAGGCTTGTAGGGTTCGTTCTTCGTTAATCTTTTGTTAGCTCGTTCGAATAGTTTTTGAGATGTTCCTGTTAGGAAACAGAGTACCTCTTAAACGTGGATCAGGGGGTAAACATCTTACTTAGATGGAGAAATTGGTTACTCTACTTCGCCCTGGCGCAGTTGCGCTGTAGCCGCGTGGACGCCGGTGTCGTGGGAGCTCGGCGTGGTGGAGTCCAGCGTAGTGGTGGCGATGCAGAGGCGACGGTGCCGCGGTCCGGTGGTGACGGCGAAGTCAGTGGGTCTTCCCGTCGCTGGCAGCACTCTCTTTAGATCCGGGTTAGGTTTAGCTGTTGGTGGGTCACGACGGCTCAGGTCAACCTCGTAGTTAGAGCCCTGATTCCCACCTCTCTTTATAGTGTTGTGCGATAGGGGCCCACCAACCATATTAGGGTTGGGCGCCCCCGATCAGGGCGTTGATGAAAGGGCCCAATTGGTGGAGATCAACTAACATTCTCCCCATTGATCTCACTACTATCTTTCAATTTCATATCATTTACTTTTGTTCATTCCATTACAGATTAACGCATAGAGCATGTTTCATCGTCACGGTCAATTGCCGATAGATTTAACAGCTACAACACACCACTCTGTTCTGAAATAGATATTTAACTTTGGATCTTTTTTGTCCAGGAATTATAGGCTTTCCCTTAAACCCATGCTGGCTATATGTTCTCTGAACACGTTGGGCGGTAAGCCTTTTGTAAGCAGATCCGCGAGCATCTTTTCGGTACTTATATGCTCAAGATTTATAACATGATCCTGGACTTTATCTTTCACAACATAATACTTTATGTCAATGTGTTTGGCAGCACCACTTGACTTATTGTTGTGAGCATACTGTACTGCCAGATTATTATCGCAGTATAACTTAAGTGGTCTATAGATATCGTCAACCACCTTTAAATCGGGTAGGAACTTCTTTAGCCAGTTCACCTGCCCCATTGCCTCATAACACGCTACAAACTCGGCATACATTGTGGACGATGTACTGACGGTTTGCTTTGAGCTTTTCCATGAAATAGCTCCCCCTGCGAGAGTGAATACATATCCAGACGTGGATTTTCTATCATCTCCCGCATAATCAGAATCTGAATATCCCACTATATGGAGTGAATCTGATCTTCTATACGTCATCATGAGGCTTTTCGTTCCTTGCAAATAACGCAAGATTTTCTTTACTAATTTCCAGTGTTATATTCCAGGATTGCTCTGAAATCTACCAAGTAACCCGGTAACAAATGTCAAGTCAGGGCGCGTACATACTTGAGCATATTGCAAGCTTCCGACAGCTGAAGCATATGGAACCGTTTTTATTTGATCGATCTCATACTGATTCCTGGGGCATTGAAAATCCCCATATCTGTCGTCCTTGACTATAGGAGCAGGTGAAGACTTACAACTTTGTATACTGTATTTCTTTAGAACTTTTTTCTAAGTATGCCTTTTGTGATAGTCCTAATACCCCTTTACTTCTATCTTGGTGAATCCCGATCTTTAGAACGAATGAAGCTTCACTAAGATCTTTCATATCAAATTTTGAGAACAAAACTTTTTTTGTCTCCAGTAGTAGACTGATATCACTACTAGCAAGTAAGATATCATCCACATACAGGACAAGGAAGATAAACTTCCCATTCTTAAACTTTGCATAGACACAATTGTCCTCTACATTCTCTTTAAACCCAAAATTCCTTATTGTCTGATCAAACTTCAAGTACCACTGTCTTGAAGCTTGTAGAAAAGGTCTCATTGTAATTAATCCCTTCTCTTTGCGTAAAACGTTTTGCCACAAGTCACGCTTTATATTTCTCTATATTCCCTTGAGAGTCAAGTTTTGTTTTATAGACCCATTTACATCTTACTGTTTTGGCTCATTTAGGAATTATTTTCAAGTCCCAAACTTTATTGGCATTCATAGATTTTATTTCATCTTCCATGGCCTCAAGCTACTTTGATGAATGATCACTTCCCATGGCTTCTTCAAATGAGGTGGGATCAACCTCCATTTGAAATTTCTCAGTGTTGTATACTTCATAGTCAGCAGGAATAGCTGATTTTCTAACTCTTTGAGACCTTCTAGGGGCCTCCACATTTGGCACATCTTCTGTTTGAGGCTGTTGTTGCTCTCCCTCATGTGTGGCAATAGGTTCTATAGGATCCTGAAGAACAGGTTCCTCATTGTCATTCATTGTTGCCACAGGCGGAATAACAACAGGTGCTGGCACCACAGTATCTTGCACTGTCGGTGCAGCGACAGCAGGTAGTGAGAAAAATGGCTCGTGAATCATCGGAGTGGGCGCATACACCCGCTTCTCTTCAAGGTCAATTTCTCGAGCTACCATGCTCCCCCTCATCATTTCGTCCTCTAGAAAGATAGCGTGTCTCGTTTTCACAAACTTTGTATATATGTTTGGACAGTAGAAACGAAAACTTTTTGACTTTTCTAGGTAGCCAATGAAATGGCAACTTACTGTTTTAGGATCTAGCTTCCCAATATTTGGGTTAAATACTTTAGCCTCAGCAGGACTCCCCCACACACATAAGTGGTTTAGTGAGGGTACTGTTTCTATCCACAACTCATACGGTGTTTTGGGCACCGACTTACTTGGTACTCTATTGAGAATATGAATGACGGTTTTTAACGCCTCCATCCACAAGCTCAATGGTAAGGTGGAGTAATTTATCATACTGCGCACCATATCCATCAGGGTACGATTGCGTCTTTCAGCTACTCCATTCTGTTGAGGTTCGCCCGGTGTAGAATACTGGGCTACTATGCCATTCTCCTGTAAGAACCTTGCAAAAGGTCCAGGAACTTGTGAAAGCTCTAGTTTGGTTTTGGTGAATTAATGAAACCCTATGTGCTAACCTAGTTTATCAAGTGATCATGAGATAGGTAGCACACTCCAAGTGGTGAAGCAAATGAAGATCATAGCATGATAAAGATGATGGCATGGTGATGATCAAGTGCTTCGACTTGGAAAGAAGAAAGAGAAAAACAAAAAGCTCAAGGCAAAGGTATAATTTGTAAGAGCTATTTTGTTTTGGTGATCAAGACACTTAGAGAGTGTGATCACATTTAGGGTTGCTAGCCATACTATTAAGAGGGGTGAAACTCGTATCGGAATACGGTTATCAAAGTGCCACTAGATGCTCTAACCCATTGCATATGCATTTAGGATCTAGTGGAGTGCTAACACCTTTGAAAATGTTTGAGAAAATATGCTAACACATGTGGACAAGGTGATACACTTGGGGGTTGGCACATTTGAACAAGGGTGGTTAGAGGTGAAATAGAGTTGGTCGCAATGATGCTGGCGTCGGTCTTCTGACCGGACGCTGGGTCACTTAGCGACCGGACGCTGAAAGGCTGCGTCCGGTCGAGATGTCAGACGGCACAGTGATTAGGGTTAAGCACCAGACGCTGGTCTGTGTCCGATCAAGCGTAACCGGACGCGCCCGGTCAGCAAAAATAGGATTTGGACTCTTACTGGAAACGACCGAACGCTGAGGGTCCAGCGTCCGGTCAACAGTGTCAGAGCGTCCGGTCAGCATTTCGACTGTTGAGATCAAACGTTCACAGTTGAACGCAGGTGACAGTGTGGCCGCCATCAGGCGACCGGACGCTGAGGACCAGCGTCCGGTCAGTAGGACCGGAGCATCCAGTCA